GCGTACTCTATGATTCACTCCTTTCCGTCTTGAGTTTGAGAAAGCACCACACCCAGCCTGGTTTGCGAAGCGTCGACGTGAACGTTAGTCGGGCAGTCTGGGCGGAAGCTCGCCAAAATTGGTGGGTTCTTCAAGGCGTGTTTTATGGCGTTGACGGTTGCTTCATGAGCGTCAGTCCATACGAAAGGAACGTCCTTTGCCAGAAGGCGCCGTAGCTTGTGCGTGACCCTTGCAAACTCCGGTATTAACTTTCGGTAGTGGTTAGCGAACTGCAGGAAGGAGTACAGCTTCTTTGCGTTGCGATGCGGCTCGAACTTCTCGACAGCGGCAACTCTGGATTCGTCCAGTGTTCGTCCTTCGGCGGAGATCACGTAACCCAGGAAAGATACTTTGTCTTGAATCAACTGACATTTCCGGAGATCCATCTTCAAGCCGTTGATCACGACTCTCCTGAGTGCTTCGTTCAGCAAATCCAAAGCCTCCCTCACTGTTGTGGCTCCCTGCCCGACATCGTCCATGTACGTAGCTGTCCTAGGTAAGCCATCGAACGTGCGACGCATGACTCTTTGCATGGTCTGAGGGGCCTTGCAAAACCCAAAGGCCATTCGAAAGTATTCGTACTTTCCGTCAGGAGTGACGAATGCGGTCTTGTGTACGTCGTCCGGCTTCATTCGTATAGTCAGAAGTGCCGTCTTCACGTCCAACACAGTGAAGTAAGCCGATCCGTCGCGCATGACATTGTCAATAACGTCTTCCATGACGGGCATTGGATAAGAACGGTTGATGGTTTTCTCGTTGAGCTTGCGATAGTCGTGTACCATTCTTCGTGGAGTCGTCGGGTGGTGCGGTTGGTCGACGACTATCGTTGGAGCACCGTACTCGCTTTCGCTCGGCCTTATGATGCCTTTGGAGAGGTAGTCATTCACCTGTTCTCGGATGAACTTGCGATCAGCCGGTGAGCACCTGTACGGCCTCGATGACACTGGTATATTGTCTCTGAGTTCGATGCTGTGCTCGGTGTGAGGACACACTCCCAAAATGTCGCCTTTGGAAGTGAACGCTTGGTGATGCCTTAACAGAATTGCGCGAAGTTGTTCCCTCTCAGCCTTACCCGAGCCCTGCGGCACTGCACACAATGTACCCTGAACGGTTTCCAAGCCCGGACTGCCCCCTGTGTGGTGGTTATGCGGACTTCGAGCATGTACTGTGGGGCTGCGCCTCTGCCGGTCCCCCTTTCACCCAAGAGGAAATGAAGCGACTCATTAAGGCCCAGGACCAGACCTCTCAAATCCTGGCCGTCCAGAGGGCCCGCGCGAGGGCCGTCAGGTTTAACCTGATGGTCCCCGAGTGGGCATAGCCAGGTGACGCTGAGTTTACTAGCGTCTATTGTGGACCGAATAATGTTGTTTCACTCACTCACTCACTCACTCTCAGCCTCGGTGGCATCCTTCGTTATCTTCCGTGTGGCGTCTTCGACTAGACTCGTGAAGTCTTCGTCGGGTGCGGGACATTTCGTGTTGAGGCGCACGTACCCTTCGTCTTTAAAAACACTCTCGTCCGATTGCCGGCAGAACGTTGCGATAAGCGTTTCCCCGGTGCGGTGTGGTGTGCCTTGTTTTGGGGGTGGCACTTCGGACGATGAAAATTTTCCGGAGGGCTCGACTGGAACGATAGTCACATCGTTTGACGTGTGAAACGTTACGTCGACGTTCGCGACTCGTCGCCAGTCTGATCCCAGAATCAGGTCGATGCCGCTGGGCAGTTCCGTTACCACAATGCCTTCGAGTCGCACATTCGTGGTGCCCAATGTCACATCAAGCGTTGCAGCGAGAGTTGGGCATATGCTGCGGTTGAGAACTTCAATCTTCTCGCGCGATATCCATGCGTGCGTGGGAATGTCGTCCGTCAAGGAATTGGCACTCATGATGGATAAGTTGGCGCCACTGTCAATGCACACGCGGACGGGTCGGTTGTTAGCAGTACCGGACACTATTGGTAATGTGCCGCCCGTCGAATGCAAAAAACAGTTCGCTTGCCTAGGTGACGTAGTCCCTGTTTCGTGGCTGCTATTGTCCCTCTTCGCTCGTTTCTCGTCCGCTCTGATCGTTGCTGGCGTTTTCGGCTTTCTGCAATCACGGGACAGGTGACCGATGTCGCCGCAGTTGAAGCACGAACGAGCAGAGATGGGCCGCGGGTGTGGAGCTCCCGAGAAATCGCTGCGCGGGTTGGCCTTCGGCAAGTTGGCAGAGCTGCTGGCTGGCACCCGCTGGTTCGAACCCTGACCACGGCTTGCTGTAGACGATGATGGTTTCTTGTCGTTCTCGGCACACACGGTCGTGCGACGCCTCGCGTCGAGCAAAACCGCTCTGTCAATGAGTTCGGTTACTGTGCCACACAGCTGCGCTGCGAGTGGGTTGGCCCATGTGTCGTCCTCGATGCCGCTGAGAATGAGGGAAATACGTTCTTCCTCTGCTAAACGGTACGGCGCCTTGTTCAGAATGGCGTTCTTCGAGTACATGTACTCGACGATGGTCTCGTGGCTCTGAAGGCGTCGCTTCGTTTGCAGTTCGAGGAACTCCTGCATTGTCAGCTTTCGCTTGAATAGGAGAATGAGCGCTTCCTTCCATTGCTCCCAGGTGTCATACTGTGAGCCGTAGGCGCTGTGCCAATCCTTGGCAGATCCCGTCAAGCGGCTTGCTGCTGTCACCAACGTCAGCGATGGCGTCCAGTGGGCGAGCGCTGCGATTTTCTCCACTTGCGTAATCCATTCGTGAGTACTTTGTTGCGGCGTCCCATCGAACAAGGGGATTGAGGATGACGTGTCGCTTGTGGAATGAATCTGGATCGGGCTCGTCGTCGGTGGACCTCTCGACAGCGTGTTGGCGAGCAGGACTTGTGTGTTCACGAGCGTGGCGAGGATCTGGGCCATGGAAGGTTCTCCCTCGTGCGTTGAAACGGTCGGCGCGGCGGGGCGTGCCGCGTCTTGGTTGGTGCCGTCGTTCAGTGACGGTGGCCGCGTCGAACCCGAGGACATCGTTATGTCAGCAGGGACGGAATGGTGCAGCGCGAGGGTTGGAGTCGTCACCCGTTCCGTTGGAAGTGAAGCGTTCTGATGGGCTTCGTGCAATGTCTCACGTTCACTCGTGGCCGCACGGTTGAGCTGGGCTCGCAGGCTGCTCAGTTCAGCGCAAAGCCTCGCGTTGTCGGCGGACACTGTCTCCAGGTGCGCCTGCCTGTCGTCGTCGTAGGCAGCCTGGTCCTTCGTTGACGAGTCCGTCGGCTCTAGGGCTTGGCGAGTGATGTTGTCGCGGTGATTCTTGCGATGAGCTCGTCCTTTCGTCCGGACCACCGTAGACCTCGTGCTCTCAGCTCGTTGACGAGTTGCTTTTTCGTTGCATTAGCCATCGTGCTGTGGTCGAGGGTCGTGAACACGCTTTCGACGATGGTCGTTTCGGAGTCCCAAGACGATGTACGGCGTGGCGTCGCTCCTTCTCGTGGCGTCGTTTCCTCCTCCGCATGCAGCTCGGTCGATTCACATCCTGTCGGCTGCGCCATGTCAGCGATGTCCGAATGAATGTAGTCAAGGCAAGGTCAAGGCAAGGTTCAAATTTTAAGAAAGACTGTATTGTGCTTTACAGGTGAATCGGCAGTGGTTACATGTATAAGGAAACTGGACTCGGTGCAGGAGCTCGATCGGATACGTCCGACGCCGCTCGCGTCTCGGCTCGCTCTGCGATGCGTTGCTATGCGGTCCCGGCTCGAATCTCGGCTCGTTCTCCTCTCTCTGGCGATGCGTTGCTATGCGGTCCCGGCTCGAAGGCTCGCTTTTGTTTTTTGAATGTTCGTTGAACCAATGGGCAACCGCGCCGAATTGATGCACTCAGGGCTCGGAGTCCACGTTAACGCAGTGCAGCGTTTCCCGAGCAAGCACGGAGACGCTGCCGGAGAAGGAGACGCTGCCGGAGAATGAGACGCTGCCGGAGAATTCAGCTGTGCTAACTCGAGTGCCGCTGACACACGTATCATACAAGTAAGTAAAGTGAAATAAATATTGAACCGGAACAATGAACGGAGTTTCCGCACTTTTTAGTACGTCCGCCATAAATAACGTTCAATTGATTCATCGACGAAAAAGCTTTCATCAATAGCTATCGATTCATTAATGCTCAAACCAGTAAATTATTAGTCCGTACTTGATTTCAAAATTTCATCAAAATCTATAACTTGCACACAGCCGACGTGATCGTGTTACCATTTTTTTTAATTTAACATCATACAATCTCGTTCTTCACACAGGTTATTCAATCGCGAGTCACCTAGAGGCCTGCGTACTGTGCGATGTCAGTGCACAATAATGAACACCAAATGGTCGAAATCGAAGCCCTTCACGGCGACATCTGTCATAAATATATTGTGGTTTTGAGGCGTAAAATCGCACCTATTAAAAAAATCATTTATCCACAGACATAGGGTTTCCTAAGGCACTCTACTGCCGGTCGAGATGACGTGAGTGACGCGCACACAACATAGGAGGGTGCGCGTCGCACCTCCCTCATAATCCAGCAGCGACCGGTCTCCCAGAATGGGTATGCACCACCACCTAACGGCACGAACGCTTGGATGCTGACGATGATGATGATGTGCCTTCTAAACAGGACTAAATCTACTTTTGACAAGACCCGCGCATGCCACGAAGGATGAGTCCGAATTTTGGTGTCTGTTAAGAAAGATGGAATTGAAAAGGTAGAATAGTGAAAAACAGTGTGCATTTGAGAAGTGACTCTTTCCACTACTGACGGTTTATATTACATGAATATTGAGTGCCAGTTCTTCTTCCTCTGACTGCTGCACTTTGCACGTGCTTCGCGAGCCCCGGCGTCGCGAGCACACGAATCTTTTCGCTAGCACTAGTCTGTCCACGATCATGCTCTAGACAACGCTCGTCGCAAGTTCCGCTGCAGCTGACACCCGCTTAAGTTCCCCAGCGTTTGCCCGGCAGTATGAACGAGGAGGAAGGCGAACAGGACATCGAGGCTGAGAGGAGGGCCCACCACAGTGCCCTGGAGCGGAGGCGGCGAGACCACATCAAGTACACGTTCGGCTGCCTGCGGGACGCCGTGCCCTCATTGCAGTGGGAGCGGGCTACACGCGCTCAGATCCTGAAGAGGGCCACCGACTACATACAGGTGATGCGGCGACGGAACAGGGAGCGCATGCACACCATCAGGGACCTCAGGCGGGAGAAGCACCACCTCGAGGACCAGATCCGAGCCTTGGAGAACGCCGAAAGGCTCAGTGGCGGTGGCCGCTGTTCGCCGAGTTCGAGCGTCGTCTCGACCAGCGTTGTGGCAGACTCCGTGTCGCCCGCGTCCTCCTCTCCGGTACTTCGACGCTGACTGATGGGCTGTTAGCGGCCGTAGGAAGATGCAGTGCGCGACAAACGTGATCCTAAATAAATAAGTATAATCATTCACTTTTGTTGTGTTGGATTTCATTCTGTATGTACGGGCAAGAGAAGCGTTTTATCCAGCGTGACCATGTAGATGAATCACACATAGTATGTAGGGCTGCGTCCTGGATTGTATGGGTGGAACGTGTGAACATTCCCATACCAAACGGCACAACATAAGCTTATTTAGTTTTGGGAGCCTTCATAAGCGCTGCCGCCTCCATTTTTTTTAAGGGTGGTGTCAGCCTTAACGCCAGTGCTGGTGACTTCGCGTCAGGCAAGATTACTGACAAGGCGTGCAAGTGGTTTCCCGCTCACATGGGGGACATTGTAACTATCAACACAACAGCCGTAAAACCAGCAGCCGCAACGCCAACCGCCAAAGACTCACCGGCATCCCGCCCAACCATAACGAGCGTGTCCACCTCATAGCGAGGCAACTTACCAGCCGCGACGCAGCCACCCAGGGAGCAGACGCCACCATGGTTGGGAGGAGCACCGGTCGAGACACGGTGGGGACCACAGGCACCGTCACTGCCCCAATTACTACCCCCACCACCTCCATTGGTGTGGTAACTGAAGTTGGTGCAGAAGAGGCAAGGCAATAGAGGTGCGCTGACTGCTATACAGAAGAATTTCCTGCCACATACCACGACGTGCTTGAGCAAGACCGGAAGAAATTTCCGCAACTCCACGTGCGCCTGGACAGGTCGCAGGCGGTGGACCTAAGAAGGCTGCACATGAGCACGTTCACCTACCCCTACCATCTGCACCGCCTATGGCCCACGCTGCACTCGCCACCAGGCTACCCGTGGTACGCGCATGAACGGGCCGATATGGCACATATAATATGGCAAAGCACAATAGACGAAGATGGGCCGCAAGAAAGGACGACGTCAACTGAGGGAGCTACCGAAATGGGGCGCCTTGCTGAGCGATGGCAAGCCGCCCTTTTCAGCGAGGCCCTCGAAGACCAGTTGTGGGCCATCCAGCTGGCCAGGGCCGTCACTGAGGACCTCGGAAGATGTTCCTCCAACGATGTGTCCCTGGCAGCCTAGCCCCGGGCACAGCAACAACCGTTGGATAAATAAATTTTATTCAACTCAACTCATCTTTTAGCTCATTTATGTTGGTCCAGGGAAGAGAACTGCCACGAGCCCGTTTTCTGTCTTTCGTATGCAATGTTTGCCAAGCCCGAGGGTACGGACCCTGCCAAGCCTAGTCTATGGCTTTTTTCTATGTACCCACCAAGCTTCATTGATTGTCTTTGAAGCTGAAAATAAACCCTTATTTATTTATTTATATATTTATTTATTTATTTATTTAACCCACCACTTGAGAACGCCCGCCAGGACACAATGTTGCTAGTCCGGGTTTCCATTTGGGTGACCAGAGCGCAATGTTGGTTCGCCCGGCCAATCATTCCTGCTCCGCCGTACTGGAGCATGCAGCTGCAAGGTTCGCGTTGGTGTGCGAGCTGCAACTTGCGCCGCGTTTGACTACACCACTCCAGACGCATAGTTTCTGCTACGACATCTACCTCGCACTAAGCATATCTGGCAGAACTTATAAATAGGAGTGATGCGTGCCGCAATGCAAAACCATCTGGAGACGGGGCGTACGAATGTTCCACTTCCCGATTTGCTCTGGCCAATGGAAACGCTGGGTAGGTGTGTTCTCTGGCTGGGTTACACAAGTGAAGCGAGGTTGCTGCAAGCCGACTACATCCTTCCGTGTTTGTGATGTGAGTACCCATTTCATTGCATGTGGATTGAGTATATTGTCACGTATTTCGTGAAACTACCGGCTTAGTAATGCGAAAAGACCAGTCCGCGCAAAGTAATCGCTACAACTTGCGCAGTAAAAAAATGGCAGCATATCCATAGGGTGAATGATGGAGAATGGCGCGAAGCATCCGTCCATCCATTCGTTCTTGCTTTCCGTCCGGTCCATACGTCCGTCTGCGTGACCGTCCGTCGCGTCCATCCGCCCGTCCGTGCGTGCGTCTGTTCATGCATCCGCACCTCCATCCGTGCGTCTGTCCCTGCGTTCGTCCATGCATCCGCCCCTGCGTCCGTCCATGCGTCCATCCTGTCCGTGCAGCCATCCATGCGTCCATCCATGCATCTGTTTGTGTGTCCGTTCGTTCAAGTACCACCATCTCGCAATCTTTTCATCATATATTCCGCATATAGAAGCACCGCCATCCAGCGGACAGTTCCAAGGACTAAACGAAAGGTGTCACACGCCCACTTTCTTACAGGCTTGCGCTTCGTGCCTACTTCCCACCTTTAACCACCTCGAGTTCATGGTATATACTAGTTCACTGTATCCATGGCACTGAGGCCCAACGCTCGCTAAACCTTTCTAAAACCAAGGAGGTTACGTCCAGCGAGTATAACCTAGCAACCCTTTCTTGTCAGATAGTGCTCAATGTACATGCCAATGGCTGCTAATTGTAAATGAGAGGCAGGAGAATTCGGCTTTTAGTTAACGCGCATGCTGCAATTTTTTTTATTGTTCAACAACGCACAGGAGAAATCTCCCACAGGCACCACCTTGCAGATCAAAGCGTAAGACTGGTTACGCACTACGACTACGACGAGGGACAAACTGGTGCCGCTCTAAGGAGCTTCGCCCCTAAATATTAGGGGACCCTAAAGCTTCTCCTCTAGGAGTTAAACGCGACAGAGATATTATGTTTTTCGAACACTTAGCTCATGAAACCTTTTCGAACTTGCTATGCACCCACTACTTCTCCTTGAAGAAGCAAGCACAGTATCGTGTGTGCCTTTTGTAGAGGGTTACCAGCCTTTCAACCACGAAGTCATTCCGATAATGATATGTTCTGACGCCCGATTCAAATGGGCGTTTGTACCTTGTGAATCATGTATACAGGACTCGTTTGTTTGTAAAGCATGTGTGCCTTTCACAGCGTTTCCAAAGTTAATTTGTACGCATTCACGAGCAGCGGCTTGGCCGTGGGGTAGAAAACATCCGCCTGCCACGCAAACGACCCGGTTTTGATCCCCACTATGACCCAGGCTTTTTAGTATTCACATCCTTCAAGACTTCTCGGTCTCGCATAAGATAATGATTTTTCACTCACAACCAACAAACTGTTTGCATCAAGCTGTGCTTAAGCTTAAGCTGTTTGCTTAAGCTCAAGTGTTTGCTTAAGCTGTGCTCACAAGCAACGACGCCGACACCGTAATTTCCGCGGAATGAGCTCTTTACCGCTATCGCGTTAAATGGATTCGGCTTCGTTCGGCTACGCCGGCTTATGCGAGCAAAATCTGCTCAACTTGGGTATGCTTGTTGATACTCGTACTAGAAGCGCAGTTCGACATTCGAACGATGTGGCTTGTCGAATGTGTCGCACTGCGTGCATTCAGTACCTATGTTTAATCGGTTTCAAAACCCGTCGCCTAATTCATCACAGGAAACGAAAGGCCATGGACTATTCATTCTTCGCTTTAAGGCCACGCTGGAAATTACATACCGAAACAACACCAAGAAAGCTTTCGCTTTAATCTTGTAGAATGCGACTGCCTTACTGTTCGTGTCCACCCATTCGTCTGTCTGTCTGTCTGTCTGTCTGTCTGTCTGTCTGTCTGTCTGTCTGTCTGTCTGTCTGTCTGTCTGTCTGTCTGTCTGTCTGTCTGTCCTAAACGATTCTTTATGTGTGCTCTAAGCCGGCTATTGGCTTATAACCTTAAATAGGCCCTGTAGGATAGTGTTGCTGCATCGCAGTTGGCGTATCGTCCTTTAGTTTCATAACCGGCCGCAAAGATGGTTGAATGTCATGAACTCAGTTTTTTATTTATTGGCTTGTAGAGGAAATGTACATGAACTGCGTAAATGTCTTTGATGCCGTGTATGACTTTTCGCCTTATTGCTTTATTGTAGGCCCACTGCGAGGACACAACCTTCGAGCGAAAAAGGCAGGTTGGTTTGAAGAAATCAAAGGAAGACGCTGTTCCGATGCTCTTTGCAATAAAACCTTACATGGAAAAACTTGGTTTGTCCTTTCTTTGTCCCTTGTTCCTTCTGTACAAAAGAAAACCCCTCTTCTCCACCAAACCCTTAAGTCATGGTTGACGTCAAGCGTAACTTACAAGTTTGGGGGGAGGGGGAATGCGAAATATGATTGAGTGCCCTACTATTTTCTGGCAATTACCTTGTAAGGTTCAATCAGTTGATTGTAGAGATTCCTTTGCAAGAAGTAATAGTTAGTGTAGCAGAAATGGGGATATACAGGAGTTATGCGGTGTGCAGAGAACATCGCAAAATACGCGGTTCTTTGATCCGCTTTTCCCGTCTTATAGGTACCGTCATATAATACAGCACGGGGCCGAGCCCTGCGCTAGAACGCCTTCGAGGTGCCTGCTGTGATAAGGTGAGTTTTGCTTCAGGAATGCCGCGCAGACATCGAATTCTGTTTGCAGTGGCATCGAGGTTCTCCCCATCGCAAGTAGAGGCTCCCGAAAATATCATCACTCGGCCAATGCGGCGGGTGTGTGATGTACCAGCTGCTATAAACGACTGTTCTCACTCGAGTCTCACAGAAACTCGAGTCAACGAACGCGTTTTTTTTTTGTTGTTGTTGTTCTAGAAAATGGCGACAAACTACAGTGAACAGCCCTCCAGCTTTGAGACCTTGCTATTTAAAAAAGCCACCTGATCCTCGTTGAAAGCCACGCAACCTTCAGTGTAAATGAGCGACCACTAAGAACCAACATGGCGGCCCCTCAAATAAGGCTGCCGCTGAAGCCGGTGGTTAGCAACCATGGTCATACTTGTCACCATCCTCCCCCCCTAATAGTATCTTTGACTGGCCGTTTGGAGTGCTTTCTTGAGAGAGAGTGGTTGCACCTTTTTCCTTTCTCAACCCCTTTGTCTCTCTCTCAGAAGAGCACTCTAGAGCGCTGCGAAACGAACTTAACA